GCAGTGGGTCACGGCAGGGAGCCTTGCTGTAATATGATACGAGGAAATTTAACATTGGAGCACGTCCCTTTGCGGGGGTCCCGTGCCTCCGAAGTTTCCTGCAAACGTGCCAGGAAAATCGCCTTGTTGCCGGAAACTTTGAAACCTTTGACACGGCATGGCATGCTTCCCGGAGCTGAAGCACCTCAGCCAACACACCACCCAGCAACACTCCGTCACGTCGTACTTGGACCCCGACCGTCAGCTTTCCGAGATGTTCAGGTTCCTGGCAACGGGGATAAACGTCGGAATTGCCAAGTCCAAATTTAAGGATCCTGCAAGAATATGTGCCTTCTGCGGGACAACAGCGGCGGAGGCAAGCTCGGAACCAGGTTCCTGGAAGTCGCGGGTTTTGTTGTTGCTCGTGTCCGCACGAAGAGCAGAGGTTGAAGAAACTGTTTCCAGCCGACAAAGTTTTCCAAGCATGTCCATACTAGTACTGCTCGTTTTGTTTGTAGAGGTTGCACAGCAGCAACATGTCCAGGCTACGGAGTCTACCGAGCTTCCCAGGCAGGTCCACACTACTGATGTTCATTTTGCTTCTCAGGGTTGCAAAGCAGCAAAAGGTCCGTACGACAACCGTTCAATTCATCCCTGCATTCGGTAAGTCTACAAAACGAGGTTGCCCTTCGGCGCCTGCTTCGCCAAGACACTTTCCATGTCGGGTCTGTTGGCACGCACAGGCAAGCGCCGACTTGCCGCTTTGGATCTCATCTCTTGGACCTGAATCAGGCTGCCAAGTCAGATCCCAGGAATCCATTCAGCGCACAAAGTTTCGTGTGTAGGCTCCTGGCTGTCAGTTCCTGCGCATCTCTGTCATCCTGCAACTGGTGCAGTTATAAGGCTTAGGATTCAGCACGATGTGAGCCCGAGATTGCAGTGGGTTGCTCTGGCATGCAGTCCTTCCGCCAAACTCTTTCTTGTCAGCTATACGGGCAGGTGGAGCGCCGGGTGCTGGCTGATTATCATCTTCATCTTCGTCTGCTGTTCGCGCGGGGATGTAGAGAGGATCACCCCACCGCATCCGAAACAAACTAACCGCACGCGTGTCTTGGACATGCACGGTCTGACAGTGCCTGTGCTCGCACATCGTAAGCGCACCTGCCATGAGCAACTCCAGAGCCGCTTCTACGGCAATTTGCAAGGCCAGCACTGCATCTCGGCCGAGTCTGCTAACGACGGTGCCCGGAGTTTCCTCAAGGAGCTCTTTCAAGGTGTCTTGGGCCAGCCGCTCAAAGTTTGCCAAAAGTATCACAGGCTCTGCTTGCTTGCCGTCTGCCACCGTGTCTTCCACGGCAGCACGACACCTTGACCGTTTGCGCTCTCGTCACGAGGCTTGCATGCAGTCGACCATCCTCTGGACTCGTTGCAGGCTACCTTCTGCCGCACACGCAAGACCGGCACCTCCATGAAATACTGTGCTGACCGCGGCAGGATCATGGGGTTTCTGGACTTCCTGGGCAAAATTGTCCTCGTCCTCACCAGACACACAGAAGAATGCGGATGGGCACTTTCATCAATGATCCGTGATCAACGACAAGTTCTCTTGCCCTCGCAGTTTCATAGGGCTCAAGGTTCCGAATTATGAACAACCCTGCGCAGTCGCCAGAACCAGAAAAAATGCAGAAACACGAGAAGCTGATTCATCAGCCATTTCGAAGATGATGTACATGTCAGTTTGGGGTTGTTTGGTCCTCTTCGTTGTCTTCAGCCCCGGCAGCTCGCGCCTGCTACACCCGCTCGGATCAGAGGAGATCGGTTTGGGGCCCGTTTTGGGTTCCCTAGCTTCATTGCATGTTTCATTTGCTGCAGGACTCTACACCGCATGCTGAAAGGGGAGGGGGGGCTCAACAACGAAAGTTTCAGTCCCTCCACCAAGACTTTTCCCAGTTTTCCCGCCTGCTCGTCCACGTCCGCATGATTTACCCATGCCTTCTTGCCATCTGGCAACTGAATTTCCAACATGTCGCTTCTCGTAACCACAACCACAGGCGTGCGGAGTGGCACTTCGAGAGCACGGGCTGACGCATCGACGAGACGGGCGACAGCTCTGTCCTGCGGTCCAAGTTGAGGCCATTTGCTATACCTAGATACAGCAGAGCTCTCACCCCCAGTCTGTGATATAACCGACTGGGGGTTGACAGCCCCAGGGCCAGTGGCGTAAGAGCCTGCTGCTCCCCTTCCGTGGCCCATCAAAATCAATATAGATACATATCTCATA